TCTTTATCAATAGGAGTGGGTAGGGAATGACATTTCTAGGAAATATAAAATATACCCGAATGAGTTTCCTCTCATATATTTCCAACAGAGCCATGTGCGATGTTAATCTCCAAACGTGTCAACGCCATTTTTCATCCGTGATAATTTCAACTATGGCTTAAAAATATATCTCCAGCACGTGTCGATATTTTCTTCATTAGATTGTTGGATTATATAAACACCATTTTACCATTTATAATGAAAATTTATGAATTAATGTTGAAATAAAGTTAAATCAAATTAAATGTCAAATACATTAGTGTAATGGAAATTTTCATTATATAAATTGTCTATTCTGTAAAATGAAATTTTAAGGATATTTTTATCTTATAAATATTGAAAAATATAAGCATGGCGTTTTAAAATTAATTGATCAATAATTGTTCATTATTTTATATTCTTGATACCCCAGAGAATGGACTTAATGGTATGGAAATAAAAAAAAAAAGTCATACAGATTGGCGATACCCATTATATTTGTCAATTGAGCCCAAGCGACATTCAAATCACTGGGATTATGCCTCAGGATAAATAGTATACAGCTTCCAAACCATATGATCGTTAAACGATCCATTTAGACCAATTATGAGATGAAATGCTTTGCGTCTCGTTGTAACCCAAAAGAGTTTAAAAAAAAAATACGAAAAATTACGACATAAATTTCGTAATCCAATGTTTTTTTTATTTTTTTTCTATTTTTTTATGTCCATGGAACAATTTATTTCTATCAATGTTATTAAAAATTTATTCGTATGGTAATTTTTGTTAGAAATTTAAGGATAGAAATTTTTACAATTTGTGTATCATAGATTATTGATGTCATTCATAATGATTATTATCGTCACTTGACATTAAATCGCGTAACCCAATTAACCCGTAACAGTCATGTCAACCCTTATCTTGAAACGTATTAACGTTGACAGCTTCGCAAGTACAAATAATAGGGGAAGAGTTGAGGTTTACGATTGTGAAGAAATAGTATAAAAATGTTATTCTCACAGTAATGTGTGTTTTTTTTATGTTTCATTAAAAGTAGAGCTACCTTTTTTTTTTTATTATTCAGCGACAATTAAATAATAAATGTTATTAGGATCGAATTAATATCAGTTAATTTTTTGTAAAAAGGGTTTTTTTGAAGAATAATAGATCATAAATTGAAAACTTTTGAGATTTATAATCGTGAGTTAGTGGAAGATAGAAAACTCTTTTACAGAATTTGAGATAATCGTTCCTTTGATTTAGTAATATCATTTTTCCGTTAGGATCAATAAATTTTTTATCACTCTGAGGATAGTTAATAAAAGAAATAAAAATTATGTGCAACAGATGAACGCGTGATAGAATATGTATATTTTCCACATAAATTTAATCTCTAAGTTTATCCACATCTATAAATTTTTTATAGCTAAAACCATATTAATCATAATATTGGATTTAATTTTTTTTTTCAACCATAAAATGAAAAAAAAAAATTTTCTCCAGTAATCTTTTCATTACAAATAATTTATTATTAATTTTCTAAAAGCATGTAAAATTTAAATGGCTTATTTAAACTGAAAGAGTTGTAATTAAGAGCAATTTAAAATTCTTCAAATGATTCTTGTCACATGTAAAATGTTGTGTGACATAAAGACCGAAGAACTGAACTAAAATGGTACAGAGTTTGGCACTACCAAGGCACTAATAGTGAGAGAAAATCAGTTGTTCTATTGGATTCCGACATTCCTCAGGCTTCCAATGCCAATTGCAAGTAAGAAGTTTACGAGATTCCTGCCAGTGAATTACCAACTCTCTTCCCTTTTCGTTAAGATTCCAATCTAAAGCTCCAAGTAGATTGTAGCTTTAATGACAAATTACAATACGTACTAGAGAGTAGTGTGTACTTTTTATCTAATTCAATTATATACGAAGACCATTTTTGAGCCAAAATTACCTTAAAGTTCACAGTAAATTTGAAATACAGGAAATTAATGAAAAAAGACTCCCTTTGTATATAATTCTATATAATTTTAGAATTAAACTCTAATGCTCATTACTTCTCATGAGAACTCTATCCATTGTCTTAAATAATTTAAATAATAATTATTATTTCAAAATAACTATTTATAATAATTTATAATTGAGTAAAAAAGTTATCTTTAAATAATTTAATTACAAAACTTGTTAAATGAAACATACTTTATTTAAAACAAAAAAATGGAAGAAAAAATTAATGAGTTTTGTTACAAATATTTTAAAAGTAAAAAAAAAGGTTACAATAGTGGTATTAACTTTTTTCATAAAACAAAACAGTAATGGCAATTTTTATTTTAAAATACTTTGCATTAGAGTCATACATAATAGATTTTATTTGAAAAACATACTGCATGTAGTTTTTTTTTTTACTAAAATTTTTCTGTCGTAAAAAATTACAAAAATGTTTTCATCCTATCATAATTATCAACTTGACATGAAAGAAGTATACAAACACGAGATTCTAAATTTTTAATGAAATTAATAAACATGGTGAATGAGGAATTAAAAAAAAAGATTTGAAATCAAAATACTTAATTAATGAATTAATTATAGTAATAGGGAAGCAAAAGGAGAAAAAAAAGGTTATAATAGAAATGAAAAATAACATTATTAAAAGTCATGATCAAAAGTGATACGACAACTTGATTATTACTTCATGTTCCAATGAATTTGACCGCGAAAGCACTGAAGCAAATGGAAAGCATAGGTAGCTTTCTGACTAAATTTGCATACGACGTACGCATCTACTTGGGTCTTTTATGTATTTACTGCAGACACATATACACTGTTGCATTGAGAAACATGAATCCCAACATACATAGCCTTATATCTCCCTTGCCAGCTTCCAGTTAACTCGTTCACGTTGTTGCTCATGTTAGCACTTAATCAGCTACGTTATTCAATATTGGTACCCAATGCGTACATATAGTTTATAATTCGAACATACATCTATAACATTTTGCAAACATTGTCTGCATGAATGAATTTATTCAAAACTAACTAACATATTTCGTGGCCCTAAAGATGACATTATGCTAAATAGAAAATTTTATTGATGTCAAATACGATATAAGTTTCATCGATAAGTATGAAAATAAAATGGAGAACAAGGACAAATATGCTTGTAGAACGTTATTATGTGTATATTCCTCTCGCAAATGAATATTCCATGTGATGACTGATGAGCTTGTTCTCTTGCGGTATAAACTGAACACTGTGTCAACTTGTGACCTTAATGATACACGGTATATACCTACTATAGTACTTGTCACACACCCAAAGGCTTATTACAATACATTTGACCAAATATACACTTAGGGAATACAGATCGTGAACGAAATATGGACCCAAATGGAGCTTGATAAATATTTATTTTTGATAATTAAAGATTTTTAAGTAAATTAATTACCTTTTGTATGAGGATTTTAACATTCATTTCATTGAAAAGAATTATTTTAATAATTCATTTAAAAAACATTTTCACTGATAAATAATGAGAAATTTTGTTTTCAAGCAAAAAGTGAATTTATTTTAATTTTTTATTATTTAAAAATTTATTTCTTTTCTTTTGGATCTGTATTAATGAAAAATCTAAAAAAGAAAAAAGTTTTTTTTTTAAAAAAATGAATAGTATGTTTAAATAAATATTGATTTTATTCAATAATCTGGGTGAAAATGAATGTAAATGATAGTAGATGGTGTTGGAATAAAAGTGGAATTCATGAACATTGACTAGGAAATTTTTACGATAAAAAGTACCAATGACATGAGATAGACAGTGAAGCTTGGGCGTAGACTTTATGCATCACGTTTTCGCCTTTTGGATGGTTCGTAATACTTAAACTCTTTTTACACATACGAGAGCTACTCGGCTCATGTTTTTCGCATTTAAATGTACTGGGATCTGGCTAGCCTTGAATAGTATCCGTCTGTCAGAAGAACTAACGTCAACGTGAGTTTTAAGCATAGAAAAATGTACAATCTAAAGACCAACGACATTCTATGAATTTTAATTTAACTCTATCTTCTATAATTCTGTGACTTGATAAAATTAACATGATATTTAAATTTTTTTATATTTATAATTAAACCTTTTCATTCTAATTTTATTGTAATAAAAATTAATTGTAGTATATTAATTATAGATGAGTGTATTATTTAATTGTTGTTGAAAAATGCGAGAAAATTTTTAATTAAGCTAAAAAAATAATTTAATATAAAATAAATATTCAATATAATAATTAATAGTTTGTTAAATTAAATTATAAGATTTTTATTTATAAATATTTATTATGGATATACAGAAATAAAATTGGTGAAAACTTTATTGTAATTATACCGAATTTTATTATAGCTACATATTGAAAATATTTAATTTTCAACAAACTTTAGTAATTAAAATTCAATTATTATCAGTAAGTTTAATGAGTTTTCATCGAAGAAAATGAAGTAAGTAAGAATTAATACAGTGGCAATAAGATTGATAAGACCACAATTTTTTTTTTCTCTCAATAGGAAATACTTCTCGTAATTTCTTTATTGAGTAAATTAAAATTTTTCTTCTTTACAAATGAACATTAATTGTTTTCACTACTCACAAATAATTATCATGATTTTCTCTTAATTAATCTATTAATCCTCTAGTTTAGTCTAGTATACATATACGATGGTATATGTGTATTATATCCGAATTTTTTTGATTATTTTTTGTGAATTTAGTAATCTCTGGGTGAAGTAAGTCACACGTACTAAATCCTTTTAGTCTTATCAAAATCTTTTTCTTCGTAATACAAAAAGTTAGTGGTGAAGAAGAACGAGACTGGAATTGATGAAAAAAATCGAAGTAAAAAAGACAGACTCAAAAAGCTCGTATCTTAAATGGAAGATAGTAGGTAGAATTTACGAATAAAAGGGAAAACAAAGATAAAGGTAAGCTCTTAACTTACCACTAGATGAAGATACTGATGAAAATCCAATAAATAATAATAAAATAATTGATGTATTTTTATAAAAATGCGATATTTTATCTCGTCTACTGTACATGAAATTTTTAAAAAATTCAACAACTTTCAAAAAAGTCACACTTTCATTTTTAGCACTTTGATTATATTCACTTGTATCAATATCACTAGTATTTATAATTATATCTAATCTTGATGTCAATTCCATAATATAATTAAAATGACAAAAAGCAGACATTATGATGAATAAATAAGTGTCATAAGAGATAAATAATAAAATAATAATAGTAATCAGTTAATCCATTTGCACAGTTCCTTAAGGATATTTTGTTTTGAAAAGCCAGTGAGTCCTTGTGTAAATGCGCGTCACTCCCCAATCGTAACCCAGCCGCGGAATGTGAGTGAGCGTCGTAGGGGTAGCTTGGGTAGATTCGGGTGGGCGGTTCCCGTCAGCGCACACACCGAGAAGGGGTCGCGTCGTGTGAAGAGAAGAGAAAAGGACAGAGATGAGATGAGAATTGGATAGAGCGAGGAACTGTGGTAGAGGAACGACGTGAGCTACCTTCCATAAACGTGTTGCCGCGTCGAGACGCTTGGCACTACTGAGCGAACCGAAGGAGAAATCTAGAGCCCGTTGGGAGGTTACTACTACTACTACTACTACTGCTGCTGCTGCTGCTGCTGCTGCTAACTTCTACCATTACTGATACTACTAGTAGGTATATACAAACAACCACACCACTACTATGTTGTACTAGAACTGCTGCCACTGCTGACTCTACGCACTTTCATCAAAAACTAAAGGGTCGTATATACTAGCATAGGTGGGGTCAACAATAGGTCATAACTATTTTATGAAAATGAGTCAAGAATATGTCTCCTTTTTTTTCAGAAACTTTTTACATTACCTTTTATCATAAATTCTTTGAAAAATGGATTGAATTATTTACGAAAAATAAATAATGTTTCTTGTATACTGAAATAAAAATGGGAAAACAGTATTAGAATAATGATAATTAAATAAAACATGTTGATAAAAAAAATTATTCACTTTATTTATTACTTTAATAGTTCATTAATCAATTGAGAAAAAAATTCACGAATCATTATTTAACAGGAACATGATATAATATACTTGGTGTTCTTCAGTATAATGCTTCATTTAATCATGAGTGTTCAATCTAATTAACAAATATAAATGATTATCAATTAACTTGTGGCCAAAATTACACAATAAATGTCCCAGATATCAACAACATGTAGTTGAATAAATAATGAGTAATTATTGAAACTAATAATTACACTAATTAACTGTAATTGAATTTTTCGTTAAAACAATATGGTGTTAAATAGCAGGCAAGTAGTATAAATCAATGTTTAGTCAGACGATAGAGTGATAGATATTTTTAGTCATACCAATTGAGTGGATTACAAAAGCCACTATTTTATCATTACCAAGTAATTAGATAATGAAATCATTAATAGATAATAATAATAAATAACCTGATATAGTAATTTTGAATGAAATTAATATGTTATTACATAGTGTAATCCATCACATGAGATACTAGTGGAACAAATACAATTTCTCGAATCTTGTCCAGTAAAGGTCATAGTTGAAATAAGCTTATATAGTATACGACGAACCAAGTTTCATACACAAAGTAAAGGATGACAGAGAATTTGAAAGGGAAAAGTGACGTCTACTGTGGCAGTTTCACATTCCCTTGGATTTAGTACGTGCCAACCACGCTTTGTATGCTTTTAACACCGCACTAGCTGCCTCGACACCTGATACCGAAATTACAGCCTTAGAGTCATGCAAAGACGAGAGAAACGCATATGGTATGAAAGTGTGAAAGCAGTGAAGGGCACACATAGTATGAGAATAACATGAACAGTCTACTTAAATTAGTATGATGTTCTTTTGGTAACTTGATCACTCTTTTAAGTACTTGTTCATATTGCCATTACTTTTATTTCTTGTGTAAATTCAATGATATCTTCTTTTTTTATTGAATAAAAACAACTAAGAGATACTTGACTGTTTTAGTAATTGTTGATGTTTCAATTATTTATGGCTTAATTATCATTACTCTCTTTATTTTATTTTTAATTGGATAAAATATGAGGATATAAGTATCTGTAGTAATTTATTAGTTAATTTAAACAAGGACTCAATAGTTTGGTGTTATTATAATAGACAACTTCAGTTGAATGATTAAACTTAGTTTATAAAGATGTTCCATCGATAACTTAAGGAAAGTTCTAGTGTGTTATTAATTTTTTATCAATAGTCGATGAGAAGAAGCTTAAAGGAAAAATTACCATCGTGTATTGTAAACGAGAGACACTCTGAACTTTATGAAAAAAATTATTATCAATTATTTTAATCAATATGATATAATTCATATTTTTTATCAAAGCATTATTAAATTTACAATGAAATATAAAATATTTGAAATATTTTGTTTATTTTGGAATTGTAAAAGGGCAAAATGAAATTTATTTAAAATGTCTATCAATGTGTTATAAATAATAGTAATGATATATTAATAAATGAAAGTAATTAACTGAAAAGTATATTAGGTAATCTATATAAATAAAAAATATATTTATTTTTAAAAATATATTAAAATATAATTTTTCAGCCAAATTTTGTATAATTGAATATAAAGAAATATATAATTATATAATCGACTACATAAATATATTTAATATAATGTATTTTTTACATTTCATATGGGAATGCAAAAAATACTCCTTAACAGAGTAAAAATAAAGTTAAAAAGCGAAAGGAGAGAAAAAAACTAATTTGTGGTAGATTTGACTTTTATACTACAATGATAAGATTAAATATGAATTGTATAGAGATTGAAAAAGTAAATAAAACTAGCGGAAATATAAAAAGAAAATAAATGTGACAATGAAAGTTTACTTCAAAAAGTAAAGTAAAAAAAAAAAAAACTAAGGAAATATGTGAATATAGAAGAAAATTGTGAATGCCCAGATAAGAAGCACTGACAGAATGAGTTACGCGTGGGTGAAGAGATGACTCGTTCATATACGTTTTAAAAGTTACAGAGGAAACGAGAGGATTGAGATGGATAAAAAAGCTAACGTTCTCACATACGCGGAATAAAATTTTTCGCTAGGTAAAATCTGTGGCCGAATTTATTACAGAAAAGTTTTGAATTTTTTTGTTCCTTTTCTTCTTTCTACATTTAAATAAAGGATTTCATCACTTAATCCGAGGAAGCGTTAACAATTCCATGAAGCATGAATTTCCTATTTTGTAAATTGTCGTGCAGTAACAATGCAATAAACTAAAGTTACCTCTGAAAAGCGTAAATAATTATAAATGAAACAAAAGACACAATAAGTTGAAAATTGAAACACTTTAGTTCACTCTAATAAACGTAAATGAAATTGTGATAAATATCATTAACACGACAAACAAAAAATTTCATTATTTACAAATTATTCGTTAATACTTATTCATTGTTCAACAAGCATACCTTGTTGATGTGTTTACATATACTATTTAACGATTAAAATAAAAAAGCATTGGTAAATAGAAATAATTTATAATTTTTGATACATATTGTTTACGTGTTGAAACCTCAATATTACATAAATGAGATGCTAGAATAGCGCCAAGGGGAATTTAGTGAAGCAAAGCAACTGAACGACTGAACTGCCTATGTGAAGTTTCACTATCCGAGGTTAAAACCCATGGGATAAATAAAATAGAAAGGGAAGAAGCAGCAAGAGGTAGTAACTGTGAAAGGGAAGATATCTCGAAGGAATTGCCATCGTCCCAGAGTGATCTGCGCACACTCGAATCGTGAATACATACAAGTTCTATCTTCCTTTCTGTCTGCTTCTTATCCTTTAGAATATATACTCATCGAAGCTCAATGATCCACACGATTCTAACATGGCTCACACATACACTCAAGTCCCTTTCCAACCAGTCCCTTTTCTCCCTTTAAATAACGAACATATTTAGAATATTTCGACCAAACGATCATTATGTGAGGGATCATATCTCTCGCTTTTCTGTTGTCTCACGCAACCATCATTCCAACTACAATTAATTCATATTTTTTATCTTCTGATTATAATGGAATTATTTGGTAGAAAGTAGAGAACTCGAATTGTTAAGATTGTACTGATAATAGATAAAAGTTTTAAGAGAATATTAAAAATAATGGTTTATTGTAGATAACATTATTACATTTTATAAAATTACATTCATCTGTGTTGAAGAAGATATTTTATTAATTTACAAAAAAATTAATTACTTTAAAAAACACATGGTTTAATATTGGCTGTTTTAAAATTATTTATTATTCAATTTATTATTTATTATTAAATGATTAAAAATTTACCAAGCCGATGGAATGTTGGGTTAAAATAACAAAATAATTAATAACAATTATTAAATGAAATATTTTATTAATATGAATTTTTTTTGGGTGCAATAAGTAGTAAGAAGTAGCAATTTCTTGATAATTTTATAAATGTTAATTAATTGTCAGAGAAGATTTAATATATCTGCTGGATAATTACAATAAGATGGAGAGCATAGGTAGATTAGTAAAGTAAAAGTTATGAGCCACCCCAGGAGAATCAAATGATGTAAATCGAATTACTGACGATACTCGGAGTTCAAAGAGTACTCAACTGGCTATTTCATTCACAAACTTTAACTTTTTTATCCTCCTTTTTTCTTCTTATTGGTTTTGCGACTTTTTTTACTTGCCTTCTGTCTCATTCCGTCGGTCCCACCCTTATTCTTTCCTTCTTTATAAGATGAACTGCGTGAGGAAAGATCATTCGGATAACGTCAGGTCAGAATTTAAATACCCCTCCATTGAAAATTTAATCAAATTAGTTGAATGTAATTAAAATCGTATTCAGAAATTTGATATTATAAGAATTCATAATGAAAAAGTCATTTTGCAAAGTTAAAAGCATAGTAGGAGCATCTTTGCAATGCTAGTCAACTAAAATTAAAATAAAGAAAAGGGTGAGGAAAAAAAAAGAGGAGGAAATTGAAGAAATCATCTTTATAGAATTGAACCAAATGTAGGGCTGTCTAAGCTCCTATTGAGATTTCCAATTTCAACGTGATGTCACTTTAAACGGAAAGCAAAGTTTTTTCCTTCAATATAAGATGCCATTGACATTGCTGTGAAATCTCATGCTGCTAAAAAATTCATGTAAATGCCATGAGTAGTTATTAAAGTTGGAATAGACCAAGTTTCGTGATCTTTATTTTTTTTTCTACACTCTTTGTAATTATTTAATTTGATCAGTCAAAGCACGAATATCAATGGAAGTAAGTTTTAAATTAAAATAATTTAATACATTATTATACAAAGAATAAAAAATCAAATAACTGTAGATTAAATTTGTGATTATTAAATATATATTTCTTTTACTAACTAATATTGGATCAATCTTTATTCTTGCTAAAATATAAGTATAAAGTACACTTATATTCTTCATAAATGCAAAATCTTTTATTACTCACCATCAAAATTAGTTTGATAGTGGAAATGGTTGAAAGAATTTTTG